CGATCATATAAAAAGAAGTAAAAGAGGGATATTTATGCACCTGTCAAATTATGTAGTTGGAAAGCAGACTAATACTGCGGCTATGCCGAATGTTATACATACATATGTATGTACATATATCCACCATTAAAATGAAATTGGGCAGTGTGTGAAATTCAACTCCGTGTTCCACCATCTTTTTAAAGCTTTTGAGAAAGCGTTAATCGGAATTATAGCATTATACAGAAGGGAACTAGGCTATAGATTATACTATAGACTAGACTATAGACTAGACTATAGACTAGACTATAGACTAGACTATAGACTAGACTATAGACTAGACTATAGACTAGACTATAGACTAGACTATAGACTAGACTATAGACTAGACTATAGACTAGACTATATACTAGTCTTTTAGGTCTGAATCTGTGGGCTTGACTATAGTCTACAGATCAGACTATAGTCTGGTCTATAGACCAGACTTTATAATATACAGACTAAACTATAGACCAGACCATAGACTAGACTATAGACTAGACTATAGACTAGACTATAGACTAGACTATAGACTAGACTATAGACTAGACTATAGACTAGACTATAGACTAGACTATAGACTAGACTATAGACTAGACTATAGACTAGACTATAGACTAGACTATAGACTAGACTATAGACTAGACTATAGACTAGACTATAGAATAGACTATAGACTAGACTATAGACTAGACTATAGACTAGACTATAGACTAGACTATAGACTAGACTATAGACTAGACTATAGACTAGACTATAGACTAGACTAATGACTAGACTATAAACTAGACTATAGACTAGACTATAGACTAGACTATAGACTAGACTATAGACTAGACTATAGACTAGACTATAGACTAGACTATAGACTAGACTATAGACTAGACTATAGACTAGACTATAGACTAGACTATAGACTAGACTATAGACTAGACTATAGACTAGACTATAGACTAGACTATAGACTAGACTATAGACTAGACTATAGACTAGACTATAGACTAGACTATAGACTAGACTATAGACTAGACTATAGACTAGACTATAGACTAGACTATAGACTAGACTATAGTCTAGACTATAGACTAGACTATAGACTAGACTATAGACTAGACTATAGTCTAGACTATAGACTAGACTATAGACTAGACTATAGACTAGACTATAGACTAGACTATAGACTAGACTATAGACTAGACTATAGACTAGACTATAGACTAGACTATAGACTAGACTATAGACTAGACTATAGACTGGACTATGGACTAGACTATAGACTAGACCATAGACTAGACTAAAGACTAGACTATAGACTAGACTGTAGTCTAGACTATAGACTAGACCATAGACTAGACTATAGACTAGACTATAGACTAGACCATAGACTAGACCATAGACTAGACTATAGACTAGACTATAGACTAGACTAGACTATAGACTAGACTATAGACTAGACTATAGACTAGACTATAGACTAGACTATAGACTAGACTAGACTATAGACTAGACTATAGACTAGACTAGACTATAGACTAGACTATAAACTAGACTATAGACTAGACTATAGACTAGACTATAGACTAGACTATAGACTAGACTATAGACTAGACTATAGACTAGACTATAGACTATAGACTAGACTATAGACTAGACTATAGACTAGACTATAGACTAGACTATAGACTAGACTATAGACTAGACTATAGACTAGACTATAGACTACTATAGACTAGACTATAGACTAGACTATAGACTAGACTATAGACTAGACTATAGACTAGACTATAGACTAGACTATAGACTAGACTATAGACTAGACTATAGACTAGACTATAGACTAGACTATAGACTAGACTATAGACTATACTATAGACTATACTATAGACTAGACTATAGACTAGACTATAGCTAGACTATAGACTTAGACTATAGACTACTATAGCACTAGACTATAGACTAGACTATAGACTAGGACTATAGACTACTAGCCTACTATAGACTAGACATAGACTACTATAGACTAGACTATAGACTAGACTATAGACTAGACTATAGACTAGACTATAGACTAGACTATAGACTAGACTATAGACTAGACTATAGACTAGACTATAGACTACACTATAGACTAGACTCATAGACTAGACTATAGACAGACTATAGACTAGACTATAGACTAGACTATAGACTAGACTAGACTAGACTATAGACTAGACTATAGACTAGACTATAGACTTAGACTATAGACTAGACTATAGACTACACTATAGACTAGACTATAGACTACACTAAAGACTAGACTATAGCCTACATAGACTAGACTATAGACTAGACTAATAGACTAGACTATAGACTAGACTATAGACTAGACTATAGACTAGGACTATAGACTAGACTATAGACTAGACTAGACTAGACTATAGACTAGACTATAGACTAGACTATAGACTAGACTATAGACTAGACTATAGACTAGACTATAGACTAGACTATAGACTAAGCTATAGACTAGACTATATGTATAGACTAGGCTATAGTCTAGTCTATAATCCAGACTATAGTCTAGTCTATAATCCAGACTATAGTCTAGTCTATAGTCCAGACTATAGTCTAGTCTATAGTCCAGACTATAGTCTAGTCTATAGTCCAGACTATAGTCTAGTTTATAGTCCAGACTATAGTCTAGTTTATAGTCCAGACTATAGTCTAGTTATATTCCAGACTATACTTTAGTCTATAGTCTAGTCTTTAGTCTATAATCAGAAATTGTTTCAGAAACGTAAAGAAAAAAATTGAAATAGATTTACAGTATATTCCAAATATCGGCTAACTTCAAATCGATCAATGTTCATGGTTCATCATTCTCTCTCTAACAATCCAACTTTGCTGATCCCGAAAAGAAACAAGAGGAAAATAATGAGTAAAAGAACAAACGTTTGAGTGTGTGTTACATGACAGTGAGAAATAAAAACAAATGTATAAAATTGTACAAGAACAAGTGGAAAATAAATACAAAAAAATATGATCGCTCCAAAACAATGACCATTGTTGTAGTCAGTCGATCAGTTGTTGTTGTTATTGTATTGAAAGTTGTGTATCTGAGAACTACGAGTACACACAGTGGTACACAGATACAAATACATATACGTAGAAAATAAAAGTACTTTTAGTGTAACAGTGATGGGTAAAGTATTGAGTTGAGAATAATGAACGGATTATAATGTCTAGCGGATCGTAATTCTTATGAAATTTTATTCCTTATTAATAAAATATTTTAAGGGAAATCCTCGTCTACGGTTTTAGAATCGAACCACTGCCATTTCTGTATTTTAGAGTAATCAGTATACATAGATCCTATAAAAGTCTTCAATTGATAGATATGAGATCGGTACGGAAATATATATCTGTGTTAAAGAATACTTTTGAAATGTCGTGTAGAGTATCAGTCCTAAAACCTAAGCTAATTTCGTAACCGATTTGTAATCCTATAGAACGTCATATTGGTCAGACAGTCTAAAGGAAATCTTTTCGTTTATGTGGTTGTAATTTTGCCATTACCCTTCCAGTGTTTTAGATTCATCAGTAGAAGGATCGATTCCATCTCAATTGATTCATTTAAGATCGGTACGAAAATCAATGTTAAAGAACGGGAAGTCGAATATACAACCTTAATCAATTTGTAATCTATAGAAGATCACATTGGTGCGACAGTTTAAAGGAAATCCTTGTGTTTATGTATTTATAATTTAGCCTCCGATCTTTCCGTGCTATGGAGTCTTCAGTAAAGATCCTATAAGAGTTTCTTCAGGTAGGATTGATTCTATATCAATACAGAATGGTTTCTGAAATGTTGTAGTCAATATTGTCTAGAGTTTCTCCAAAGTTATCGGCTACGGTTACGTATTGAGTTCTATTCTATTCCCTTGAAAGGTTCTACTTTAACGATTAGATCGCTGGATATTATAAGAGATCTGTCATCAGTATAGATCTTATAGGAGTTCTTATAATTCATACGAGATTGTTCTGCTATCAATTTTATATCGTTTTATATTAAATTCATAATTGTGAAAAGCACAATTTATATCGTTATTATAAGAGGTCCGTCATCCGTATAGATGATATTGGAGCTTTTATGAATTTAGAATTGATTCCATATCAATTGATTCCTACGATATCCATACGTATTGACCTGTATTAAAGAATGGTTTCTGCGATGTTGTAGTCAATGTTGCCTAGAGATTTTCCAAGATTATAGAGTACGGTTACGTATTCGTATTGAGTTCTATTCCCGTATAATTGTAGAGTTAAGAGAACTTTATTTAAGCATTAGCTCAACTGGTAGCAAATTCATAATTACGAAAATGACTTTAAAGTAAAGCACCTGTTATTAGAAGAGATCCGTCATCATTATAGATCCATTAGGAGTTCTTATGATTCATACGTGATCGATACGGACTTATCTCTGCTGAGATCACTTTTTTTTTATATCATTAGATCGTTCTATAGCAATTTTATAAATGTGAAAAGCACCATTGATATCGTTAATATAGAAGGTCCATATCGATCGTGAGTTCTATTCCCGTAAGATTGCGTATAATTGTAGAGTTGAAAGCACTTTTATTCATAATTGAGATCTTCACTTTTATTCATACGAGATCGATCTATTCCCCTAATATTACGTATAACTGTAGGTTTGAGAACACTTTCTTTAAATATTAGAACGATAGATATAGACTTAACAATTCTTTAGATTCAAAACTTTTTATATTTAGAACCCTTTCAGACACTTTGAAAGAGTACCAAAAAATGTACTCAAATATCACAACCATCACTGTTTAAGTTTCAATGCGTTTGAGATACAAAAAAAAAACTCATCCACACACTACATGGATAAACAAACAACAAATAGATCGAACCGATCAATAGAATATACGAGTATTTATTGAGTATAAACGACGAGTATTGAAATAACAAACAATACCGTAGTACATCATCAGTAGCAGCAGCAGGCAGAAAGTAACAATAGTAGAGTACTATTTAGTTAGCAGTAGTATTAGTAGTAGTAATATTTAGTAGTTTCATATTATAGTATTAGTAAGTAATAGAGTAAAAACGACTATATAATCTCAGTCATATCAAGAGCTTTGCGAGTGATGCACGGATTGCAATTTATTAAACGGATAAATAAAATTTATAAAAGATTTTTTTTTCTTAAACCTATAATAAACAAAATCAAACTAAATTTTATATAAAAAAATAAAACGCAAAATATTAAAAATAATTTAAAAAGAAAGTGGAAAATTATTAAATATATATTAAAGCAAAAAGTGCAAAAATATTTTAGGAAATTTTTAAGAATAACCAGAAGATTTTTTTACTAATTTTGTGGTATAAAAGTGTGTGAATTTAAAAAAAAAAATATACTCGTTTAGAGTATTTACACTCATAAAAAAACCAGTTTCTTGGAGTTGTGTTTGTCAAATTTTGGATTTTGCAGGCCTGGTTTAAAGTATTGAAATCAACTGTGAAGAGTGAAACATAAAAAAAAAGAATCTTAAGTTAATTAATTTAAATAATTAAACAAGTTGAGCAAGAGGCAAAAGGAAATATTTTTATAAATAACAATTAAAAGCAATTAACACGCATATTCGCACGTTTTCACAGTTACGGATTTAGTTTGGGATTTTTAAAAGATTGAGCAGTTTGAGTATATCAAAAGGAATTTGTTTATAAAAACATTATTATTATTATTATATTGTTGTTATTTTTTATCACACCCTACAACTTAAACCTCTGATTACACCCGCCAGCACCAGTACAACCCACAAATTCAGACTGATCGGCAGCAACAACAACAACAATAAGAAAAAATAAACAAAATTGTGTGGAATATATACAATATATATATACAAAATCAAGAAGAATATAATTTCTAGTTAATTGCACATTAATAACGCGCACACACTTGATATCAAGTGGTATTGTTTGGAATTATAACGACGACTACGATCACTACACACGTTCTCACTCTGGAGAACATCAAGCAGAGAGTAAACTACTGACCGGTGTAAGTAGAGAGAGAGCGAGCGAGAAAACCAGCAATTTCCAAAGAAGTGTGGCAAGTTGCCACTACCAGCAGTTGCAGCACCATCACTTCTAACCAGCCGGCCTTTGGTCTGGTCTAAGTATATTTAAATTTGTTTATAATCACCACATTCGATATGTATTTTATGTGATTAGGAGCATTTTTCATCAGTGGAACGTGAGCAGCATTTAAAGAAAAACTAAATTTATTGAAAACAAAAATAAATGATTACTTTTTCCAGCGCGTTCTATACAAAACACTACACCTTAGAACAACAGTAAATAGTTGAAATTATTTAAATGTAAACAAACATCAATCCTCGAACTCATCAAGCGCCAATCTAAAAGAAAAAGAATCTCTCACTTTACGATCATTATTGCTACTCAACAACGACTATTCGCACTCTAGAGATAAAATCGTTTAAAAAATTACTTAAGAAATAAAATTCCAAAAACTACTGCTCCTCAAAAAAATACTCGTTCCCCTTTACATTTCTCGACTGCATGCATGTTTATTTTATTTGTAATTCATGTAATTAAAAATTAAACAACCTAAACCATCAATTTGCAATTAAATCAACAGTGCGTTATAAAAGTAAACAACCCAAGCAATCAGCATACAACATGTTTTTCTACAGCAAACTAACAGCACAATTCTGTATTGCTTTAACTACTTCTACCCGCTTATTATGTTTAATCGTTTTAACAGTTTTCCTTAGCTGTTTGATCCCTTATAATCCGTCCAGTATTTTGGTTAGTGCCAGTCAATCGGGTATTTATGTTGATAATGGTCACGATCAAACAATAATGCATCGTGCCTTGGATGAGGAGGAAAAGGTGGCGGCTTCATATGAAATTTTGGAATTTTTGGGTTTACCCGAACGTCCGCGAAGGAAACATAGTCATTTGTCGTTGAGGTAAGTTGAGGCGAAAGTTTAGAGTTTTATTATTTGTTTTGTTTTTAGAACTGAACTTGAATTGAACTAGAACAGAACTAGAAAAGAACTAGAAAAGAACTAGAACAGAACTAGAACAGAACTAGAACAGAACTAGAACAGAACTAGAACAGAACTAGAACAGAACTAGAACAGAACTAGAACAGAACTAGAACAGAACTAGAACAGAACTAGAACAGAACTAGAACAGAACTAGAACAGAACTAGAACAGAACTAGAACAGAACTAGAACAGAACTAGAACAGAACTAGAGCAGAACTAGAACAGAACTGAACAAGAACAGAACTAGAACTGAACTAGAACTGAACTAGAACTGAACTAGAACTGAACTAGAACTAGAACTGAACTAGAACTGATCTAAAACTGAACTAGAACTGAACTAGAACTGAAATAGAACTGAACTAGAAATGAAATAGAAATGAACTAGAACTGAACTAGAACTGAACTAGAACTAAACTAGAACTGAACTAGAACTGAACTAGAACTGAACTAGAACTGAACTAGAACTGAACTAGAACTGAACTAGAACTGAACTAGAACTGAACTAGAACTGAACTAGAACTGAACTAGAACTGAACTAGAACTGAACTAGAACTGAACTAGAACTGAACTAGAGCTGAACTAGAACTGAACTAGAACTGAACTAGAACTGAACTAGAACTGAACTAGAACTGAACTAGAACTGAACTAGAACTGAACTAGAACTGAACTAGAACTGAACTAGAACTGAACTAGAACTGAACTAGAACTGAACTAGAACTGAACTAGAACTGAACTAGAACTGAACTAGAACTGAACTAGAACTGAACTAGAACTGAACTAGAACTGAACTAGAACTGAACTAGAACTGAACTAGAACTGAACTAGAACCGAACTAGAACTGAACTAGAACTGAACTAGAACTGAACTAGAACTGAACTAGAACAGAACTAGAACAGAACTAGAACAGAACTAGAACTGAACTAGAACTGAACTAGAACAGAACTAGAACAGAACTAGAACAAAACTAGAACAAAACTAGAATAGAACTAGAACAGAACTGTAGTAGAACTGAACTGGAACTGAACGGATCATGTGGGCCTAAGTATGTCAGAGCCCTGAGCTTATTGTTTACAACTTTGCTTTTGAAATCAATACTAGTCCGTAAGGATTCGTACCAACATGCTAAGGGGTTCGTGAATTCTAACGTCAATGATAGCTAACGATCTAAAATCTTACAGTTTGAAAACAAACGATCAAAATCTCTTAGGCGTTGGACAAAGGGTTTCTCAGTGATGAGTACCGTAGCCATTTCTGTTTAACTTCCAAGTCTTTGAACTCTCAGAGACTTGAAAAAGAGTGGAAGTAAAAATTTATATAGACGTACATACATATGTAGAAACTCTTGTCAGTCAGTAGTGTGTAGCTAAACTGAATGACATTTGTAGAAAAGTTCGAAAGATCTACACCGTGGAAAACAGGCATTTGCCGGACCGTTTTAAATTTGCACTTATATTGTAGACAAAATCCTATCGATACTTCACCACATCACGTCAGTTCATATACATCCTCCTAAGGAAGATGTTAATATACAACCAATCCAGAAAAATGCACCTATGCCCCTATGAGACCTGGTGTTCGCTTCTTTTCCAGTGGTTATGGTGGGAATCGAACCCACCATCTCCGTATTGATAGACTAGATCGTTGCCCACTAGCTTACAGAGGGACCATCAATTGTGGATTGGTTTCACCCCATATGTTTTTCAAAAAATGAGTTTCATTTAGCGAAAGCATTGGATCACTTCGATCTATCGATTATTGATATTCTCGTTCTTATTTATAAAATGTTTGCTTAAATTTGCTCATGATGACAGATATTTTAATTCGGTTCTTATTCGTTCACCTAAATGATCATTGAAAAGAATTGTGAAATTTTTTGGTAAAGTTTATGTGTAAATACCATTTTTTCTAACAAGATCATTTTACTTAACTGTTTAACACCATTTGACATGTTATCTGATACAAAAACGAAATACAAAATTTATTTAAAAAATTTGATTCGTAGACAAAATGGAGCCTTTTGAGTTTAAAGCAAAATTATGTTAAACAACAAATATAATGTTTAATATTCAAAGCATATAAGCCATGACATTAATACAATGTTATAAACATTTTATTAAAAGAATTTTTGTTATTATTAACCTGATACTTTGAATTTTTTTTTATAAAAAGTGTTAAAATATTTACTTGTATTTAACAAAATTTTATAAAATTTAATATTTGCTTATTCTTATGCATAATTATTTAAACATATATTAATTTTATAGAAAATCAGCACCACAATTTCTTCTGGATGTTTATCATCGCCTCAAAGAAGAGGAAAATAATGATGAACCAGCGCCTTTGGTGCGCTCAAAACGTGATCTACAGGAACAGGAAAACTTTATAACCGATCTCGATAAGAAAGCCATTGATCAAAGTGATATTATAATGACATTTTTAAATAAAAGTAAGTAAAAAGTAACAAAAATTGTTAAACCAGTTTATCCAAATCTATCATATCATAATTGTTCATCATATTCGAGACGTTTTGAACTAGTTCAAGACGAATTAGAATTGAACTAAAACTAGAACTGAACTAGAACTGAACTAGAACTGAACTAGAACTGAACTAGAACTGAACTAGAACTAAAGTAGAACTGAACTAGAACTGAACTAGAACTGAACTAGAACTGAACTAGAACTGAACTAGAACTGAACTAAAACTGAACTAGAACTCAACTGGAACTGAACTAGAACTAAACTGGAACTGAAATAGAACTGAACTAGAACTGAACTAGTACTGAACTAATACTTAACTAGTGCTGAACTAGATCTGAACTAAAACGGAACTAAACGGAACTAGAACTGAACTAGAAATTAAGTAGAACTGGACTAGATCTGAACTAGAACTGAACTAGAACTGAACTAGAACTGAACTAGAACTGAACTAGAACTGAACTAGAACTGAACTAGAACTGAACTAGAACTGAACTAGAACTGAACTAGAACTGAACTAGAACTGAACTAGAACTGAACTAGAACTGAACTAGAACTGAACTAGAACTGAACTAGAACTGAACTAGAACTGAACTAGAACTGAACTAGAACTGAACTAGAACTGAACTAGAACTGAACTAGAACTGAACTAGAACTGAACTAGTACTGAACTAATACTTAACTAGTGCTGAACTAGATCTGAACTAAAACGGAACTAAACGGAACTAGAACTGAACTAGAAATTAAGTAGAACTGGACTAGAACTGAACTAGAACTGAACTAGAACTGAACTAGAACTGAACTAGAACTGAACTAGAACTGAACTAGAACTGAACTAGAACTGAACTAGAACTGAACTAGAACTGAACTAGAACTGAACTAGAACTGAACTAGAACTGAACTAGAACTGAACTAGAACTGAACTAGAATTAGAACTGAACTAGAACTGAACTAGAACTGAACTAGAACTTAACTAGAACTGAACTAGAACTGAACTAGAACTGAACTAGAACTGAACTAGAACTGAACTAGAACTGAACTAGAACAGAACTAGATCTGACCTAGAACTGAACTACACCATTTACAGTTGTATTTCAGAATTTTCTAGTTCTATTTCAGAAATTTCCATTTATATTTCAGAATTTTCCAATTATGTTTCAAAAATTTCTAATTATATTTCAGAAATTTCCAATTATATATCAAAATATTCCAATTATATTTCCGAATTGTTTTTAATATTTCAGAAATTTCTACTTATATTTCAGAAATTTCTAATTATATTTCAGAAATTTCCATTTATGTTTCAGAAATTCCTAATTATATTTCAGAAATTTCTAATTATATATCAGAAAATTCCAATTATATATCAGAAAATTCTAATTGTATTTCAGAATTGTTTTTGATATTTCAGAAATTTCTAATTATATTTCAGAAATTTCCAATTATGTTTCAGAAATTTCTAATTATATTTCAGAAATTTCTAATTATATATCAGAAAATTCTAATAATATATCAGAAGTTTCCAATTGTATTTCAGAATTTTCAAATTGTATTTCAGAAATTTCAAATTGTATTTCAGAAGTTTCCAGTTGTATTTCAGAATTTTCAAATTGTATTTCAAAAAATTCCAATTGTATTTCAGAAATTATATTTTTATACAAAAATATTTATGTAACATTGTATGTAGTAATTTTAGGACGAATAATCTACATATATTTTAATTTTGAAATGTATATGGATACATAGTTCTGTTCTGCTTTATAATTTTTTATTACTGCTTATTACTTATTTATACATAAATTATATATCGAAAATAAAATACGAATCGTTAATATTTTATAAATACATGTGTTCAATTCAATATAAGTCGTAGTTAAACAACTCCGGAATTTGAGTTTAAACACTATTCAAATGGACAAAGGGGAGATTGTAGTTGGTAAGACATGAAAAATATTATCAATTGTAGGTTGTTTTATAGACCTAAAATAACTACATACAATGTTACATAAATATTTTTGTATAAAAATATAATTTCTGAAATACAATTGGAATTTTTTGAAATACAATTTGAAAATTCTGAAATACAACTGAAAACTTCTGAAATACAATTTGAAATTTCTGAAATACAATTTGAAAATTCTGAAATACAATTGGAAACTTCTGATATATAATTAGAATTTTCTGATATATAATTAGAAATTTCTGAAATATAATTAGAAATTTCTGAAACATAATTGGAAATTTCTGAAATATAATTAGAAATTTCTGAAATATCAAAAACAATTCTGAAATACAATTAGAATTTTCTGATATATAATTAGAAATTTCTGATATATAATTGGAATTTTCTGATATATAATTAGAAATTTCTGAAATATAATTAGAAATTTCTGAAATATAAATGGAAATTTCTGAAATATAAGTGGACATTTATGAAATATAAGTAGAAATTTCTGAAATATTAAAAACAATTCTGAAATATAATTGGAATTTTCTGATATATAATTGGAAATTTCTGAAATATAATTAGAAATTTTTGAAACATAATTGGAAAATTCTGAAATATAAATGGAAATTTCTGAAATAGAACTAGAAAATTCTGAAATACAACTGTAAATGGTGTAGAACTTAACTAGAACTGAACTAGAACTGAACTAGAACTGAACTAGAACTGAACTAGAACTAGAACTGAACTAGAACTGATCTAAAACTGAACTAGAACTGAACTAGAACTGAACTAGAACTGAACTAGAACTGAACTAGAACTGAACTAGAACTGAACTAAAACTGAACTAGAACTGAACTAGAACTGAACTAGAACTGAACTAAAACTGAACTCGAACTTAACTTCATCTTTAGCTGGCGAACTATAATTGAAATTTCACTTTCACTTTTCCTCGTGACCTCATTTGGAATATCCTTGCACTAATAGCTCACAAATCATTTTATATCATTAATGATAATGACTCAATTATGGTCAGTAAAACAATGATCATAAAACTAGCAAAAAAAAGAAGATAAAGCAAACTGAAAAAAATAAATACTAAATGGTTTAGGCGCCTTTTTTTTGTTTGAGTCACGATATTTATGATTCTGATTCCTTCTACTACCTGTGTAGCTGAACAAGCAATACTATTCCAAGAAGGAAGGAACACACACATGCGCATTAAAATAAAATAAAAAGGAAAAGAACTCATTTTAAGCACAGCTTGAACCAGTTTAAATGTTGTGTTTCAAAAACAGACTGATTGTCTGTAAAGACGTTCGTTCAAAAGACCGCCTACTCTCGTCCAGGTTTTGTGCTGTACATTTTTTATTGTTCTTTATTGTTTTTAAAAGCTGGCGCTTTAAAGAAATAAACATATTTCTTCATTTCCTTTTAAGATTACTAAGCATTTTTTCTCGTTCCTTTTTATTAAATTTTTTTAGACCACCACGTTGATGAGGTACGACATGAACATGGACGTCGTTTGTGGTTTGATGTTAGTGATGTACCCGACGATAATTACCTTATGATGGCTGAATTGCGCATTTATCAAAATCCCTCTCAGGGCAAATGGGCTACAACGGGCAAGGAATTTACCATTACCGTATATTCGATTGTTAAAACCAGTGGCCATGAGAGGGAATTGGAAGTTCTTTCCTCGATTAATACCACCGCTGACTATCAGGGTTGGTTGGAAATGAATGTTACCGAGGGCTTAAGTGCTTGGCTGCAGAATCCTAAAGATAATAGAGGCATCTATATAGGAGCTCATGCAGTTGCGAAACCCGATAGAGAAGTAAAACTTGATGATATTGGTTTGGTGCATCCCAAGGGAGATGATGAATATCAACCCTTTATGATTGGCTTTTTCCGGGGTCCCGAGGTGGGTTTTTGTTTTCTCTTTGACAGTTGAGAAATGTTTACTAATATGTTCTTTTTATTGCAGCTTATTAAAACTGTTAAACGTCATAGTCGGCAAAAGCGTAATACACATCCTCGTCGTCGCAAGAAGACCGATATTGTGAATCCGTTAATCGATGGTCCCAGTGAGAGTGTACGCAGCTGTCAAATGCAAACACTGTATATTGATTTTAAGGATTTGGGTTGGCGTGTAAGTAGTTTAACATGTATATATTCAAATCGAAACAAAAGTTAAGTGTAAAGGTCACACTTTGAAAGAGACTCACTATAGCGCTGATCCTATTGCGTCACCTAATATTAAATATAGACTAGGCCTTGACCATTAACCACTGCCTTCGCGTATCATTCCCATAAGATAATGGGGTATACTTCTCCCTATAGTATAATTTAATTATTAGGAAGAGCAATACATTTAGATGGGATAATCATAATCCCTTAATCTTTGTTAAGTCCGTTCTTGGACTTAAGACTAAGGTCCGTTCTACTGCACTGTCAGACAGTCTAGTAAATAGTACAAGTTCTGGTTTTTCAGAATTGATACTAAGATCACCATTAGTGATCCATATATATGTATGTATATTGCAGTATGAATCTATTTTTGGATTTCTACTGACTACAAAGATTAAAGACATGTAAAAACTAGATAAATTTCTAATGCAATGAAGTTTATCATTCCGAATTGTTAATCCGAAATCTAATTACCTTTTTCCTTCTTCATTTCAGGATTGGATTATAGCACCCGAAGGTTATGGCGCCTACTATTGCAGTGGTGAATGCAATTTCCCTCTCAATGCTCATATGAATGCTACCAATCATGCTATAGTCCAGACACTGGTACATCTATTGGAACCGAAAAAAGTACCCAAACCATGTTGTGCACCAACACGATTGGGTGCATTGCCCGTGCTCTATCATCTAAACGAAGAGAATGTTAATTTAAAGAAATATAAAAATATGATTGTTAAAAGTTGTGGTTGCCATTGAAACGAAAATTTATGTATGAAATTTAAGAAAAAACAAAATTGAGATTAAATAAAAATTGTAATTTTATATGTATGTGTGAAGACAGTTGAGTAAATTTATGGGTGGAGGGAGGTTGGGGTAGCAATTTGGAAGGCGAACAGAAATTTTTTTTTTTCAATTAATGTTAGAATTCAAAACTTTTAACGGGGAATGAAAATGCGACATCCTAAAAGTATGCTTTAGAAATATAGAAAAATACATATCTATTACTTGCACATTGGGACATGAACGATTTAATTGGAAAAAAATTATGGAAATAGTATAAGTACCTACATGTTAGATAGGTAGGTAGATAGACAGATAGATAGATAGATAGATAGATAGATAGATAGATAGATAGATAGATAGATAGATAGATAGATAGATAGATAGATAGATAGATAGATAGATAGATAGATAGACAATATAGATAGATAGATAGATAGATAGATAGATAGATAGATAGATAGATAGATAGATAGATAGATAGATAGATAGATAGATAGATAGATAGATAGATAGATAGATAGATAGATAAATAGATAGATAGATAAATAGATAATAGATAGATAGATAGATAGATAGATAGATAGATAGATAGATAGATAGATAGATAGATAGATAGATAGATAGATAGATAGATAGATAGATAGATAGATAGATAGATAGATAGATAGATAGATAGATAGATAGATAGATAGATAGATAGATAGATAGATAGATAGATAGATAGATAGATAGATAGATAGATAGATAAATAGATAGATAGATAGATAGATAATAGATAGATAGATAGATAGATAGATAGATAGATAGATAGATAGATAGATAGATAGATAGATAGATAGATAGATAGATAGATAGATAGATAGATAGATAGATAGATAGATAGATAGATAGATAGATAGATAGATAGATAGATAGATAGATAGATAGATAGATAGATAGATAGATAGAGATAGATAGATAGATAGATAGATAGATAGATAGATAGATAGATAGATAGATAGATAGCTAGATAGATAGATAGATAGATAGATAGATAGATAGATAGATAGTAGATAGATAGATAGATAGATATAGATAGATAGATAGATAGATAGATAGATAGATAGATAGAAGATAGATAGATAGATAGATAGATAGATAGTAGATAGATAGATAGATAGATAGATAGATAGTAGTGTAGTTAGTTAGTTAGTTAGTTAGTTAGTTAGTTAGTTAGTTAGTTAGTTAGTTAGTTAGTTAAGTTAGTAGTAGTTAGTTAGTTAGTTAGTTAAGTTAGTTAGGTTAGTTAGTTAGTTAGTAGTTAGTTAGTTAGTTAGTTAGTTAGTTAGTTAGTTAGTTAGTTAGTTTAGTTAGTTAGTTAGTTAGTTAGTTAGTTAGTTAGTTAGTTAGTTAGTTAGTTAGTTAGTTAGTTAGTTAGTTAGTTAGTTAGTTAGTTAGTTAGTTAGTTAGTTAGTTAGTTAGTTAGTTAGTTAGTTAGTTAGTTAGTTAGTTAGTTAGTAGTTAGTTAGTTAGTTAGTTAGTTAGTTAGTTAGTTAGTAGTTAGTTAGTTAGTTAGTTTAGTTAGTTAGTTAGTTAGTTAGTTAGTTAGTTAGTTAGTTAGTTAGTTAGTTAGTTAGTTAGTAGTTAGTTAGTTAGTTAGTTAGTTAGTTAGTTAGTTAGTTAGTTAGTTAGTTAGTTAGTTAGTTAGTTAGTTAGTTAGTTAGTTAGTTAGTTAGTTAGTTAGTTAGTTAGTTAGTTAGTTAGTTAGTTAGTTAGTTAGTTAGTTAGTAGTTAGTTAGTTTAGTTAGTTAGTTAGTAGTCAGTTCGTAGTTAGCTTCAGTTAGTTAGTTAGTTAGTTAGTTAGTTAGTTAGTTAGTTAGTTAGTTAGTTAGTAGTTAGTTAGTTAGTTAGTTAGTTAGTTAGTTAGTTAGTTAGTTAGTTAGTTAGTTAGTTAGTTAGTTAGTTAGTTAGTTAGTTAGTTAGTTAGTTAGTTAGTTAGTTAGTTAGTTAGTTAGTTAGTTAGTTAGTTAGTTAGTTAGTTAGTTAGTTAGTTAGTTAGTAGTTAGTAGTTAGTTAGTTAGTAGTAGTAGTTAGTTAGTTAGTTAGTTAGTTAGTAGTTAGTAGTTAGTTAGTTAGTTAGTTAGTTAGTTAGTTAGTTAGTTAGTTAGTTAGTTAGTTAGTTAGTTAGTTAGTTAGTTAGTTAGTTAGTTAGTTAGTTAGTTAGGTTAGTTAGTTAGTTAGTTAGTTAGTTAGTTAGTTAGTTAGTTAGTTAGTTAGTTAGTTAGTTAGTTAGTTAGTTAGTTAGTTAGTTAGTAGTTAGTTAGTTAGTTAGTTAGTTAGTTAGTTAGTTAGTTAGTTAGTTAGTTAGTTAGTTAGTTAGTTAGTTAGTAGTTAGTTAGTTAGTTAGTTAGTTAGTTAGTTAGTTAGTTAGTTAGTTAGTTAGTTAGTTAGTTAGTTAGTTAGTTAGTTAGTTAGTAGTTAGTTAGTTAGTTAGTTAGTAGTTAGTTAGTAGTTAGTTAGTTAGTTAGTAGTTAGTAGTTAGTTAGTAGTAGTTAGTTAGTTAGTTAGTTAGTTAGTTAGTTAGTTAGTTAGTTAGTTAGTTAGTTAGTTAGTTAGTTAGTTAGTTAGTTAGTTAGTTAGTTAGTTAGTTAGTTAGTTAGTTAGTTAGTTAGTTAGTTAGTTAGTTAGTTAGTTAGTTAGTTAGTTAGTTAGTTAGTTAGTTAGTTAGTTAGTTAGTTAGTAGTTAGTTAGTTAGTAGTTAGTTAGTTAGTTAGTTAGTTAGTTAGTTAGTTAGTTAGTTAGTTAGTTAGTTAGTTAGTTAGTTAGTTAGTTAGTTAGTTAGTTAGTTAGTTAGTTAGTTAGTTAGTTAGTTAGTTAGTTAGTTAGTTAGTTAGTTAGTTAGTTAGTTAGTTAGTTAGTTAGTTAGTTAGTTAGTTAGTTAGTTAGTTAGTTAGTTAGTTAGTAGTTAGTTAGTTAGTTAGTTAGTTAGTTAGTTAGTTAGTTAGTTAGTTAGTTAGTTAGTTAGTTAGTTAGTTAGTTAGTTAGTTAGTTAGTTAGTTAGTTAGTTAGTTAGTTAGTAGTTAGTTAGTTAGTTAGTTAGTTAGTTAGTTAGTTAGTTAGTTAGTTAGTTAGTTAGTTAGTTAGTTAGTTAGTTAGTTAGTTAGTTAGTTAGTTAGTTAGTTAGTTAGTTAGTTAGTTAGTTAGTTAGTTAGTTAGTTAGTTAGTTAGTTAGTTAGTTAGTTAGTTAGTTAGTTAGTTAGTTAGTTAGTTAGTTAGTTAGTTAGTTAGTTAGTTAGTTAGTTAGTTAGTTAGTTAGTTAGTTAGTTAGTTAGTTAGTTAGTTAGTTAGTTAGTTAGTTAGTTAGTTAGTTAGTTAGTTAGTTAGTTAGTTAGTTAGTTAGTTAGTTAGTTAGTTAGTTAGTTAGTTAGTTAGTTAGTTAGTTAGTTAGTTAGTTAGTTAGTTAGTTAGTTAGTTAGTAGTTAGTTAGTTAGTTAGTTAGTTAGTTAGTTAGTTAGTTAGTTAGTTAGTTAGTTAGTTAGTTAGTTAGTAGTTAGTTAGTTAGTTAGTTAGTTAGTTAGTTAGTTAGTTAGTTAGTTAGTTAGTTAGTTAGTTAGTTAGTTAGTTAGTTAGTTAGTAGTTAGTTAGTTAGTTAGTTAGTTAGTTAGTTAGTTAGTTAGTTAGTTAGTTAGTTAGTTAGTTAGTTAGTTAGTTAGTTAGTTAGTTAGTTAGTTAGTTAGTTAGTTAGTTAGTTAGTTAGTTAGTTAGTTAGTTAGTTAGTTAGTTAGTTAGTTAGTTAGTTAGTTAGTTAGTTAGTTAGTTAGTTAGTTAGTTAGTAGTAGTTAGTTAGTTAGTTAGTTAGTAGTAGTTAGTTAGTTTAGTTAGTAGTAGTTAGTTAGTTAGTTAGTTAGTTAGTTAGTTAGTAGTAGTTAGTTAGTTAGTTAGTTAGTTAGTTAGTAGTTAGTTAGTTAGTTAGTTAGTTAGTAGTTAGTTAGTTAGTTAGTAGTTAGTTAGTTAGTTAGTTAGTTAGTTAGTTAGTTAGTTAGTTAGTTAGTTAGTTAGTTAGTTAGTTAGTTAGTAGTTAGTTAGTTAGTTAGTTAGTTAGTTAGTTAGTTAGTTAGTTAGTAGTTAGTAGTTAGTTAGTTAGTTAGTTAGTTAGTTAGTTAGTTAGTTAGTAGTTAGTTAGTAGTTAGTTAGTTAGTTAGTTAGTTAGTTAGTAGTTAGTTAGTTAGTTAGTTAGTTAGTTAGTTAGTTAGTAGTAGTTAGTTAGTTAGTTAGTTAGTTAGTTAGTTAGTTAGTTAGTTAGTTAGTTAGTTAGTTAGTTTAGTTAGTTAGTTAGTTAGTTAGTTAGTTAGTTAGTTAGTTAGTTAGTTAGTTAGTTAGTTAGTTAGTTAGTTAGTTAGTAGTTAGTTAGTTAGTTAGTTAGTTAGTTAGTTAGTTAGTTAGTTAGTTAGTTAGTAGTTAGTTAGTTAGTTAGTTAGTTAGTTAGTTAGTTAGTTAGTTAGTTAGTTAGTTAGTTAGTTAGTTAGTTAGTTAGTTAGTTAGTTAGTTAGTTAGTTAGTTAGTTAGTTAGTTAGTTAGTTAGTTAGTTAGTTAGTTAGTTAGTTAGTTAGTTAGTTAGTTAGTTAGTTAGTTAGTTAGTTAGTTAGTTTTAGCTCCTGGGTTGCAGTTTCAGATGGAGGTCTAACAATATAAGTTCGTTGGACTTCATTGCTTGTGGTTTGCTGTTTCAGATGGCGGTCTAATGATATACATGGAAGTGTAGGTTCGTTCGACTCATGTCAACAATTATTTCTTATTTATGAAGGATCTTTAGGTGCTAAAAGCTCGTAAACTATCAACAGTTGTGGGTGCATTGTAATTTAAGGGCTTCTGCTGCTCAATAGTTCATTAAGTCAACATATGTTGAATCACTTGACCATTACCAATTTTTTAAATCTTTACCATGTGCCATATTTTATGCAACAGTTATTTTAAAAATATGTTTACATTTTTCATTTACCAAATTTCTTTCTTACGTATTTCACATAACAAGTACTTGAAGGGTGGCTACTAAAAGCTAGTTATTC